ATCTATCTATCTATCTATCTATCATCTATCTATCTATCTATCTATCTATCTATCTATCTATCTATCTATCTATCATCTATCTATCTATCTATCTATCTATCTATCTATCTATCTATCATCTATCTATCTATCTATCTATCTATCTAACTGAAAATAATGTACTATTTAATTTTATTATTATTATTTTTTTTTTATATTTTGTATTTTTAGGGGACTTTATTGTACTAATTTATATTAAATTATCTATATTAAATAAAATAAAAAAAATTATATTTATTATATTCAAATTATAATTATATGTATTAAATCTTAAATGTTTTGAAGCACAGACTCGAGTTTTGTCTCTTTTTCAAGACGACGCTAGCAGAAAAAAGTTATAGAAGTTTATTATTATAAAAAATGCATATACTATTTTAAAATTTTACATGAAAATATATATTTTACAAAACATGTTTAAGTTTGAAACTGTTTGAAAAACAAAGCTATAACTTAAGTTGTGTTCCAAATTTGAGGTTGACAAAAAAAAAAAAAAGATTTCTCTTTAGATTAAAAAAGTACGAATTTGTTTGGACGCAGTACCAAAGGTTTTCATTAGAATTCGCAGGACAAGTGTGACTCTTTTTTTTCCAAGATCATTTAACCTTTTCAAATCATGTTAGGGCTGCACAATTAATCGAATTTCTAATCGCGATTACAATTATGGATGCCACAATTACGTAATCGTTCAAAGTCCACTTATGTTATTCTGTGTGCTTATGATGCATTTCTTTCTACATGTTATCTTAAGGGTTTTTCCCATTATTTTAATTTTAGTTTTAGTATGACTTTATAATACCATTCATATTTTTACTTTTTTATAATTTAAAGAAGAAACCAATCCGATGTTTAGTTGACATTTGAGGCTTAATACTATAGAAAAGCACTAAAGGTTTTTCAGTTAGAGTGTTTTCAGCTTGTTTATTTTCATATAACAATATACGGCATGCAGTTGCATCAAACAATGGTATAAACATCATTCAATGTAAATTGTGATAATCGTAATTAATAATCGCAAATACAATTTCAAGGGAATAATCGACAATTAGCCCTTTTTTCATGTTTATGTTCACACATCAAGTGAAAAACCTTTGAAGATTTGTACCATTCTGAAGAAGTAAAAGATTGTAAACAACCAAAACAACCAGTCAAAAATGACCGACCAGCAGCAGATGGTTAAAATAACAGTATTGTTTTGTGAATATGCACAGCCCATATTGCTGTATTGCTCCTGCTTGTACCTGAGGTTTTCTCCTCCTTCGGAGCACTCCAGGTCGAGCTTGGACGTCTGGTTGCTGACAAACCTCTTCAGATGAGAGAGTTCCAGTGCTTTCCACACTTCTTCATCACTGTATTTCTCAAAGGGATCGAGGTTCATCCGCAGAGTCCCGGAGAACAGGACGGGCTCCTACAAACACATATCACATAACACATAACACACTGCTCCGTCAGATACGGTGATGCACAAAACATATATAACCAAAACTCACTTATATTTGGAGAAAAACAGCATTTATTTATCATCAACATGAATCAATGTGAATGGCAGGACTCGACGATATATATATACATTATTATTAAATAATATAAGCAGCATGATTTCCTGCTATTAATGCAAATTCATTTAAAAACAGAAAATTGACATTAACATACATTTGATTTAAAAAATATTTAACTTTACCGAACTCAATGTTTACTTAATGCTGTATTGTTGAATTGAATTTATAGCTGTCACAGTTAAATAATATGTTATTAAATAATATATACAATTATAATCAATAAAAAATGACAATATAAGTGGTACTATGTCCAGCTTTTAATGGCAATTGATTAAATACATATTTGATTTCAAAAATATTTTCAACATTTAACTTTTTTTTAACTAAATATTTAACTAATGCTGTACTGCTGAATTTATAGTTATTTACTAAATAATATATACAATTATAATAAACTATAAATTAAATAAGTGGCACAATTTCCTGCTATTAATACAAATTAATTAAAAAGAAAATGTAACATTTAACTGTATTAAAACTCAATATTTAACAAACGCTGTATTGTTTATGAACTTATAGATGTGAAATAAATAAGTTACTTATTGAATAAAATATAAAATCATAATTATAATAAATTAAAATTAAATGATATAAGCAGCAAAACTCCTGCTATTAATGCAAATGAAAGAAAAAAGAAAATATAACAACATTTATATATATTGAACTATATATTTGAATACTGTTTTTAATTAAAAATGTGAATAAAACTGCTGTCCTGTCATGGCTAGCATATAAAATCCTTACTGTTGAGCTGTGAACAGTGAATGGTGCTGAGCAAAACACATTAAAACACTGCAGCATTTTAGCAACTGTTAAAAGGTGAAATGAGGTTAAGGACAGGTTTTACTAGAGAAAACAAACAACAGGAAAAAAGCCCAAAGTTAATAATCTGGACACGAGCTAACAGGCCATTAGCTTATAACAGGCTAATTAGCCAGCGTTTAGTGAGCCTGAAGGTGCTTTGGCATCAAAATCTCTATCAACTGCTTTATGGCTCTGAATGGGGAAATGAGCTTTTTCTGCTGACCCATCATGAGCGCAATGCTAATACAGCAGTAAACACCATACCCAAGCTGCGCTTAAATTAAAACAGATGCATCACCGCCAACAAAGCCAAAAGAGCCACCTGAGGGATGATGGTGAGTTTGGAGCGGAGGTCATGAAGGCCGATCTCAGAGATCTTCACCTCGTCGATCACGATCTCTCCATCCGCCGCCTCCAGGAGACGGAACAGACACAGAGTCATGGAGGACTTTCCGGCACCTGTCCGTCCCACGATACCGATCTGAAGAGCGACACGCCACCAGTTAGGAACTCAGAGCATCATACACAAACGTGTGCTGAATATAGACATGCATGGTATCGTGGGCGCTTGAAAATACACAGAATGATTCTAGACACCTTATTATGAATGACTTGGATTCTTAGAATGCTGTATTTTCATCAGCTGGTTACATTTCACAACACTGCTTATGTGCTGCATAAAGGAACCCAGAAATAATGCCTGGAAACAAAACATTTTCTGTTTCTGACGCACGCTTGTCACGGAGAAGAAGGGAAGTCCAACAGTATTTAAGATTCTATATTATATAAATGTGCAATTGTGAGAAAATTATCATAATTATGAGATATAACCTCAAACTTGCAATATATAAATGTGCAATTCTGAGACAAATGTCATAATTATGAGATATAAACTCAAAATTGCAAGATATAAATGTGAATTTCTTAGAAAATGATCATAATTATGAGATATAAACTCAAAATTGCAAGATATAAATACGCAATTCTGAGAAAGTGGTCATAATTATGGGAATATCAGATATATATTTAAATACTGTAAATATAAAATAATCCAAATTTGAATTAAACTGCTGTATAAATGCACTATTCTGAGAAAATGATCATGATTGTGAGATATAGACTCAAAATTGCCAGATATAAATGTGCATTTGAGAAAAAAAGTCATAATTATGAGATATAAACTCAAAATTGCAAGAAATAAATGTGCAATTCTGAGACAAAAGTCATAATTATGAGATATAAACTCAAAACTGCAAGATATAAATGCGCTATTCTGAGAAAATGATCATAATTATGATATAAACTCAAAATGGCAAGATATAAATATGCAGTTCTGAGAAAAATCACAATTATGAGATATAAACTCAAAATTGCAATATATAAATGCACAAATCTTTTTTAGCAGTTATCTTTTCTTTTTTTTTCCTGTGGTGGAAACAGCCTTCCATAAAATTACTGAGATATAAAATTAAATAAAAAATAAAAATAAAATAAAAAGTGCAAAATATAAATGCAATTCTGAGAAAACTGTAAAAAATTTGAGATACAAACTCAAAATTGCAAGATATAAATGTGCATTTCTGAGAAAAAAAGCCATAATTATGAGATATAAACTCAAAATTACACAATATAAATGCAATTCTGAGAAAATGGTAAAAAAAATTGATACAAACTCAAAATTGCAAGATATAAATGTGCAGTTATGAGAAAAAAAGTCATAATGAGATATAAACTCAAAAAGTGCAAGATATAAATGCGCAATTCTGAGAAAACAGTCATCATTATAAGATACACATTCAAAATCGCAAGATATAAATGTGCATTTCTGAGAAAACGGTCATAATTATGAGATATACACTCAAAATTGCAAAATATAAATGTGCATTTCTGAGAAAAAAGCCATAATTATGAGATATAAACTCAAAATGACACAATATGCTAAATGCAATTATGAGTATAATTCATGCCAAATATTTGCAAATGTTCTGATTCTTTAATGTTCTTCTTCATAGATGTGTGAATGCTTTAGCAATCACTGTGATATGAAAAAAAAATCACATGATAATCATAATAATGCACCATTGTGCCTTTTAACATCACTTTTTACAGTATACTGGGTGAAGTAACAGTACCTGAAATAGACTAAATGATGCTTTAGCTGAGAAGAATGCTTCTGTGCTGTGAATGATCTAAAGCAGGTCAATGGTGACGCTCCTCACCTTCTCTCCTCCTTCGACCTTCAGCGAGATGTTCCTCAGCACCAGGTCCAGTCCCTCGCGATACCTCACGCTGTAGTCTACGAACTCCACGTTTCCCTTCGGAGGCCAGTCTGGAGGAGGCTGCTTGTCCGTCACTATCCATGGAGCCTACGGGTTCGATTTCAATGATTTACAATGAACTCTTGCTGTCTATTGAGCAGTCTGTGTGCAGAGTAAACTGCAAAGTGGACCAGATTTAATACTGATATTCAAAGTCTTGCTCATGCAAATGATTTCTTAACCCTAAGATAATGATTATATGATGACGGTGGATTATATTCTACTGTATGTTTACCTCAGTCTGCGTCTCTGAATACTCCTTCACTCTCTCCACTGCTACTATGTTGCTCTCGAGGTCAGAGGTCATCCTCACCATCCAATTTAGAGACATTGTGACCTATTCAGCAGAAATAACAATTGTTGATGCAGATTTTATTTGCACAAAAAATGATGCATTTCTCTTTTTCATAATCTAGCGTTATAATAAACGTGGCATCGTATCGTGTGAATATTGTTGACTCTGTGATGAATTGCTTATGCTCCTCTATTTCAAGTTTCAAGTTTTTCAAGTTTCAAGTTTTAAATTTATTCCTGTGATCAAATCTGAATTTTCAGCATCATTCCTCCAGTCTTCAGTGTCACATGATCTGATTATTATCAGTGATGAAAACAGCGAGGATGCATTAAATTGATCAAAAGTGACAGTAAAGTATTTTTGATCAAATAAGCTGAAGTAAAAGTAAAAAAAACAATCATTTCAAACTTTTTACTGGTACAGTGTAAATGTAAATATTTCTCGTAAGTCCTACGATACGTTTTTGAGCATCAGGAGATGCAGTTATAATAAAATACAGTAAAAACTATATCTAATGAGAACTATTGCTCAGCATTATGATTTAAGCAGTTCAATCTTTTACTCATCTAAAGGCATATGTTACTTGAGCGCACACATGATTATACAGTACATAATGAGTGTGATTTTACCTGTAGAGCATATGACACGGACAGACCGACCAATCCGGGGCTGAGTTTGTCCTTCCCAATCACAGCAAGCAGAGCAGCAAACAGCACAATGCAATTGCCGATAAACTCGATGCGAACCCCCAACCACCTGTGTGCATCCAAACACAACACCGTTACGACTCACACGACCCTCAAAGACATTTCCCGAAAAAAGCAAGTGTTAAAAAACATGCATGAGGAAATGCATGCATCCAAACGAGAGCGAGACCAAACCTACCTGTTGGAAACAATACCAGGGTAGTAACTCTTTTGGTTCTCATCCACTTTCATATCGCTCATGAGAACAAAAGCAGCGTTTCGCCCGTAGGCTCGGATCACGCTAGTGCCTGTGATGGTCTCCGAAAAATGAGAATATATAGGAGACCTACTGACAGACTCCAGTCTCTTAAGCTGCCGAGACGTGGCTACATAAAATCTCTACAGAGGAAATCAGGGAGAGAAATAAACAATCTGCTATCACAACAACAGAGCAGCAGTAACAACATCATATATATGCATGGCATAAAATAGGAATATTAGACATTCATAAATATACAAATGAGCAAGGATTCAGAAAACAGTGGTCTCATGATTTGACTGGCAACATGCAATTTTCTTGCTTTTTCTGAGCAAGTCTTTTCAATTAAGGCTTTAAAGTTATGCATTAAAAGTCAAGCACAAGGACTTAATATTGCAGGTTTGTCTGAACTCTATAGGAATGTTTGGTCAGTTTACTACTAACTAATTTATGACATAAATTTGAACAAGAGAAAAATTAATGCAAATGATTTTATGGTGGCCAAAAGATTCTATAAAATCATTTTCAGTTTGTCCTCCAATGCAAATATTAATGGTAACTACTCTTTTGTCTTATACGTGATACAGTTTGGGGTCAGCTTTTGACAGAGGTGTCTTCTGCTCACCAAGGCTGCATTTATTTGATAAAAAATACAGTAAACCATTTCAGCATTACTCCAGTCTTCAGTGCAGCATCCCATGATTCTTCAGAAATCATTCTAATATGCTGATTTGCTGCTCAAGAAACATTTCTGATTATTATCAATGTTAAAAACAGTTGTGCTGCTTCATATTTGTGCAGAAACTGTGATACATTTGATTTTTCAGGATTCTTTGAGGAATAGAAAGTTCAGAAGAACAGCATTTATTTGAAATAGAAATCTTTTGTAACATTAGAAATGTCTTTTGATCAATTGAATGTGTCCTTGATAAATAATTTCCCTCAAAAACAGTCTTTTAAAAAGCTATAGGATTAAATCTGAATATGATAATCAAAATTCTTCCGAATATCAAATACTGCTACCTATAATAAACTGTATGTGATTCTAGATAATCCAAACATGCCTTCGTTCAGACAAACCACAATGTCCAATTTTTTATTTTTAATTTACAACTGAATTTAGTTTTTAGAATCCTCACTTTTAATCAGTCATCAAACAACTTTTCAGAATACATGATATATTCAACATTCAAATATTCACATTAAGGGATCAAATGTAAACGGGATCAAACACTATCATAATGTTGTAGTGTTTGGTTTGGCTTTGTGCATTCCTGAGTTTGTGTTTATAATGAAATCAATGAGAATTTAAAAGAGTGTGCATTTGATATTTTGGTTGCATGCAGCAAGTGATTCATTTAGTCATCGCACAGAAAATATAGAAAGCCATGCAAAGCCTAAGCAATACGTAAAAGAGAGAACGTATGTGAAATTAAAAGACAATCAGGAGGGATGCAAGACCAAGTTAAAATTATGCAATGAGAGATTGGAATTTTAGTACCTAAAATATCTTGAGAATCACAGTAGAATGACTAGACCAAAACTGCTGTTCAAGCCTAATGAAATGACACCAAAGGCCCATAAACATCTGAAACACTATCTTAAAAAAAAAAAATTATTATACAGTATCAGATGTTACAAGCTATTTTTGTTATCACTGTAATGCTGTTTTTCTTTCATCTACTTGTAATTAGAATCTGAACTGGTTAAGCAGAATTTAACACTATGTTGTCAGTAGCCTAAATATTAGTAATAAGTTAAAAGAACAGTTCACCCAAAAATTAACATTCGTTGAAAATGTGCTCACCCACCCTCAGGTCATCCAAGATGTAGATGAGTTTGTTTCTTCGTCATATTTGGAGAATTGTAGCATTGCATCAGTGTCTCAGCAATGGATGCTCTGCAGTGAATGGGTGCCGTCAGAATGAGAGTCCAAACAGCTGATAAAAACATCACAATAATCCACACCACTCCAGTCCAGCAGTTAATGTCTTGAGAAGCCAAAAGCTGTGTGTTTGTTTATATAAAATAAGAGTCCCTAATCCATTATAATGTTTCCTCCAGTGAAAAAAATCCATCTCCTGTTGTCTCTCACATCATATTTGTTTAGAGCTGTTTTGGGCTGTAAACGGTGCTTGATCTGTGCAGATTTCTCTCCTGATTCAGACCACTTTTTCTCTGGAGGAAGCGTTATTATGGATTAGGGATTGAATTTTAGTTAAAAACATCTCAAAAAAGTTTTTAAAGTATTTGTTTCTTACAAACACACAGCTTTTGGCTTCTCAAGACATTAACTGCTGGACTGGAGTGGTGTGGATTACTTGTGGATTATTGTGATGTTTTTATCAGCTGTTTGGACTCTCATTCTGACGGCACCCATTCACTGCAGAGCATCCATTGCTGAGACACTGATGCAATGCTACATTTCTCCAAACCTGATGAAGAAATAAACTCATCTACATCTTAGATGGCCGGAGGGTGAACACATTTTCATCTTTGTCTGAACTATTCCTTTAACAGCGGGACACACCACCAAATCCACTTCTTACTCGTGGACTCTTATTGCACCCTCACATCCCCAGTTCTTTCATTAAAATAACTACGAAAACAAGTTAAAAGTCCTGTCTGTTATTGCGCTAGCATTAGTACTGACAGCTACACGCTACACTGTTAGTGTTAGAGGAGCACACAGCATGAAAGCTGATGTAATGCGAATGGAGATTAGGCTGATGAAGTGATGAGATACAGCACAGCAAAACACTTCAAACCATGTTCAGTAGAAGACAAATGAATTAACTTCTACTCCTGCAAAGCTAACTCTACAGTAAAAGGCTGTTCTTTACCTGCCTTTATTACTTTTCAAAATAACTAATCATTCTTCTCGTATTATGATTGATAATATGGAATATGAACTTTGCTGCTGTGACTACAGGGAATATACTGTTAACTATATGCCAAAGTACTAAGAAACTCATATACACTTTAATAAAATATATTAATAAATAAATAATAATCATACATTGTTGCCATAATTTAATTACATTGTAATAATGTTAATAGAAATAATAATTATTTTTATTACTACTACTTTATATTAATCATGATGCTAATTTATTGCAACATTTAATTAAATTATATAATAATAACAATTAGTAATAGTATTAGTAGCAGCAGCATTAAATCATTTAATACATTAATTTACTACTAATAATAATTTAGTAAACTATATAGTAACAAATATAATTAATACTAGTAGTAGTATCAATATTATATAATTTGATAAATTACTGCAAAAATGTATTATTACTATTACTGTTAATAATAATTATTATTATTTATAATAATTTATTGCAGTAACATATAATTACATAATAATAATAATTTACTCTAATAATGTTTTAAATTATATCCTAAAATGAATTATTATTATCATTACTAGTAATAGTATTAATAGCATATCATTTAACAAATTATTGTAATATTTTATTATAACAATAATAAATGATTGTAATGACAGTAAATAACGATATACTAGTAATTACTGACTGCAATATTTATTAATAATTATCATCATTACTATAATTAGCAGCAGTATTATATCATTTGACAAATGACTAATTATTGCTATAATTTATTATTGTTGTCGCTAACATTCTTAATAATAGCAATAATAAATCTTAGTAAAATATATAATTATAATAATAATAATAATAATAAAATAACACTTTTGACTCAAATTATTATACTGTTAATATAATGTACAATATTAATTAAAACTAAAACGCAAGGATTTGTGGTATACTGCGTGTTTCATGTAAGCTCTGTTACTGTACGTTTCTAGGAAGTTCTTAGAAACTCAAGGAGGTGATTCGGTAAAGAACAGCCACGACTAACCAATCAGAGAGCGACTCCCTGAGTGCGCTACAACCGAATGACCAAACCACACGGTGTCAAACTACAACACTACGGCAGTGATAATGCAGCTAGAACATAACAACAACAACACATGTTAGCATGCTGTATTAATGAGTTAGCAGACTTGTTCCTATTTACCTGGACCCACCAATAGAACAGCATTAACGGCACTATGACTATGAGGAACATAGGGGTGAGGGCAGAGCATACGATCAGCACATTTACTGTGTACCAGAAAGTGCGCATCCAGATATCAATATTGTCTGGAATGACAGAGTCTATTGTGTCCACGTCTTTGCTGAAGCGGTTCAAGACCCGCCCCGAGGGTGTGGCCTCGAAAAAGGCCTGCGGGGCCCTCAGAATGGCGTGGAGCATGTGGAGGTGCGTCTCGTGGGCTGCCTTCAGCATGCTGTACGCCCGACACAGTAAACAGTTGGCCAGAATCAGCGCACCTGTTGAAGGGGCAGCACACGGGTTAGTGGGGTCGGCCCTCGCTTGCTCACGGCTGCTTCAGACAAGCACTTCAGACAGCGTGTGTGTGTGTGTGTGTGTGAGTGTGCGCGTTTTTGTGACAAATGAGGATACATTTGTATAATCACAAAGGTATGACATAGGTATTACAAGGAGAAGGTGACTTTTCAGGACATTACCCCATGTCCCCACTTTTCAAAACGCTTATAAATCACACAGAATGGAGTGTATTGAAAATCTGAAATAGCAGAAAGTCTCCTGTGAGGGGTAGGTTTAGGGGTAGGGTTGGTGTAGGACAATAGAATATACGGTCTGTACAGTATAAAAACCATTACGCCTATGGAGAGTCCCCACTTTTCACAAAAACAAACCTGTGTGTGTGTGTGTGTGTGTGTGTGTGTGTGTGTAATACTGACAGAGGCCGGCACCGTGTCCGCTCATCTAGGAGAGAAACAGACTCGTGTGAAAGTTGTGAAAGTTGTGCTTGTGAGAAATTCAACATTCAAATGACTATAACATTCACAATTTAATGTAGCTTAGATGAAGAATTGTTCAAACGTTTGGGGTCGGTAAGAAAGAAATGCCTACTTTTGATTATCTAGGCTGCATTTATTATGTGACAAAAAAATTCCTATTTCAAATAAATGCCATTCTTCTGAACTTTCTATTAGTCTGTGAATCCTGAAAAGTAAAATGTATGATGGTTTCCACACAAATATGAAGCAGCACAAATGTTTTCAACATTGATAATAATTAGAAATGTTTCTCGAGCAGCAAAATTAATTAAAAAAAAAAAATTTTTTTACCACAACTGACAGATTATAAATTATTGCAGAAAGTTAATTATATAATAATAATAATAAATTATTATTATTACAATATATATATATATATATATATATATATATATATATATATATATATAATTTAGGGTTAGAAAAATAAACTTAATAATTCAAAGTGAAAACTAGTTTATTTTTCTCCACATTGACAGATGATTTCTCTTGTTTTGGGCTTAAACTTGCTTACTTTTGATATAAAAATGAAAGACTTAACATTTTAAGTCAATTTGCTTTTCTAGACATGGAATTAAATAACACAGAAAATGTAAAAAAAAAAAAAAACATTAAAATTAATATACTAATTAAAATTCCATAAGATGTCTTAAAATTCCATATGATAAAAATTCAAAAATACTTTCTGGAAAAATCTTATTTAAGTCCTAATAAAATTAGTTCATTGTTTATTTGCATTAAAAGCAGATGAATGTTTAAAAAAAACACTAAGAAAATAATTTTTTGCAGTGTATGAGCAAGAATGACAGCTGTAGAGTAATAATAACACTTTGTGTGGTTTTATATTGACACGATGTGTCCTAATTGACAGAATAAATTTAAATCGAAGAAGAGACTGTTTACGTTTGTTATTTTAATTGTTCAAAAAACCCCAAAACAACAACTAAGAAATCAGATTTTACCCGCTGTCTGAACAAAGCCAAATAAACATAGAGGAAGTACAGAGGAAGAAATCACACAGGTTACACAGACTGACTCTCTGTACCAAATCCTGGAAAGCACACGCTCAAATACTCCTCGAAAGGGAACTGAAATGCAAACGTTATCCCGCTTTCATCCAGAATCAGAGTACAGCTGCAAAAAAGGGCAAAAATACCTGCACAAAGAAGTAAATCAAAGCCAGAGGGCCAATGACCAGCGCGAATATGGGCGTACTGCAAATGATAACAATCATGGTGGACAGAGAGGCAAAGAAGGTGCCCAGGAACATGAGGATGGTGGACGGGAGGACCTCATCGATCACGTAAATGTCCTTGGAGAAGCGGTTGATGATCCGGCCTATGGGGGTGGTGTCAAAGAAAGACTGGGGCGTGTGAAATTTGTTGTCCAGCAGGGTCTGATGCAGCTTGCGTGCGGCCTGGATTTTCCCCAGAGCCAGAGTAAAGGAGGAAAACATAACCAGGACGCCTGTGTTAGAGAGACCAGAGGAGGGGCACAGCGTCACTACACTACACACGCCTGCAGGGGATTGTGGGATACGGGAGAGCTACAGAGCGGGAGTCAAACGAGAGCACAGTCCTCAACACAAACACACACAGGGGCCGAGTTCACACAAAAACGACAGGTGCATCACTGTTCCCTCCACTTCAGTGGAACGCAAAAGGAGAAACTTAATGCAGCTCTTTTCCGTACAGTGACAAGATCGATCGGCCAATAAAGCTGTATTCACAATAGAGGATAAAAACGTCCGTTTTTAAACACATGTGCCTAGTTTTGATCATATTTAGTCAACCTTTGTGTTTAAAAAATGTACGTTTGCCGATGTTTTAAGGTCATCTGTGCTTTTCCTACAGAGAACGCATGTGTGAACGGTTGCCAGGTTGAGAAGATAAACTGAAACACTGTGCAGAAAATGTTTATTTTTTAAGAGAGAAGCTCTGATTTGGGGATTTTAACTCATCTGGCAACCCCAATAATTCAAACACATGGAGGCCTGTCAAGAACATTTTTGGATATAGAGTTTTAATTTTTGAAACTACATTTTAGTCTCGTCTTTTTTTTGTCAACGATATTGCATGTTAATATAGTCACTATAGTGTAATGATGCTCATGGAAAAAAGGTTGTCAGGGAATATTTTCATAGTTTTCAAATAGCTTTCGTTAACGAAATTAACAATTCTTGCTATGCACACTTTGTTTTCACATTAGTTTCATAAAGCAATAAGCCCCGTGAACCCGTGGTTTACAGTGAATTTATAACAGCTAAGGGGCGTTGTTACGGCACGACGTGGAGCTGTTATAAATTCACTGTAAACCACGGCTTCACGGGGCTTATTGCTTTTATAACACGGTTATTCCATATACGTAGTATGAAAGCAATAAGCCCCGTGAAGCCGTGGTTTACAGTGAATTTATAACAGCTAAGGGGCGTTGTTACAGCACGACGCGGAGCTGTTATAAATTCACTGTAAACCACGGCTTCACGGGGCTTATTGCTTTTATAACACGGTTATTCCATATACGTAGTATGGTTTCACAAAATAAAACCGAGCAAATAAAGTGTAAAGATATCAATAAACACAGTATTCTTCCGCCAAACAATGTAGTTCCTCAGAAACAGTTGTGGTTGCTACAAAGTGTTTGCAGAGTAGCACAGAAGTAAATAAAGGTGTGTGTTTGTAGAGTAATTTACAACAGCTTCGAACGCGGCTCAGCCAATCAGAATCAAGGACCGGAGCTATCCGTTATATAAAAGTTGTCAAAACCATATTATACCACTTTATACAAAAGGGTCGGTATATAAATAACTAATTATTAAAATTATTTACGATCCCTGGTACCAAAATGTTGGTCTAAATGCTGTTGAGAACCCTGTAGTTTGTGATTTGGTTATTTTATAGGAAAACTAAAGTTAACATCAAAATTCTTCAAATTAAAAATAAAAAATTTGGTCATTTGTTGTAACCAACAGGCAAATGCCACATTTTCCCGACAGGCAAGTGTACACATTAATAGCTTTTAAAATATATTCTTTTAAAGGTAAAAGGAAATGTATTTTTCTTCTTGCAAATATTATGAATATTACAGTAAATATTCATAAATATCACATTTTTGTGGAGTTGCACCACACAGCATCTTACAACCTGAACTAATCTTGCCTGTTTGTCATAAAAAGTTAACTATTAATAACATTTTAATATTTACTTATAATGATAATAAATACATAATTGTATATATCATAATCAATATAATTACAACATAATTATTATAATTTAATATTTTACAAGATTTCTTGACCTTGACATACAGTCATGACTAGTTTTTATTTTTATTTTTATGTAAACAAACATGATGCGCCAGTTTGAATACGCAGAATGGAGAATAACAGATTCTGAGCAAGTTCTGTCTTTTCTTTATGCTTAAGAAGAGTTTTATTAAGTTTGACAGACATGGTCACTTTAACAGAAGCGAGTGAATCTTCATAATTTCTCCTTTTTCATTCCAGTGAAGCAGCATGTGGGTTTGATGTGCAAATAGCAGAACTGTTTTGATTTTTGGGTGAACTGTCCCTTTATGGTGGATGTGAATGAAATGATATGACCAGGTGTTCAGTCAGTATTTCTGTGGTTGGTTAAATAACACAATCAGACGAGACTCGTTAGATTAGCATTAGCTCTGCGCTCCGAGTATCTGACCGTACCTTGTGAAATGCCCAGCGCGGCGTACACCCCCACCCTCATGGACACTTGTTCCTGCGTCCGGTTGTGCTGCGCGTCGTTCGTCCACTCGCTCAGCCAGAAGTTTGCTCCGATGGAGGCGGCGCTCTGACAGCCGTACAGGAAACAGATGAAGAGTGACAGGAACGGCCCCACGGCCTTCGCATACTCCCAGTACACCTTAAACTTCACCTGCAACACACACAACACACACACATCCTGAGAAGACACTCTAGAGGAGTCAAAGCAAGTGCTTAACATTCTCAATAATAAATAAAAATTTTAATAATAAATTTTTTGTAAAATGGTGCTTTGGTTATTTCATAGCATTAAAAAGGGAAATAAAGACACAATTCATGAAGTTAAAAATTAAAATTGAAAGGTTGGGTACTATATATTTTTTTCTTACAATAAATATTTTATACAATGAGGGAAAATTGAAATTGAAATAAAAACTATGGATGGGTACTATACATTTTATTGCCTATTATTTTGAAAGGGAATATTTTTTGTATGGGGCTCTGGTTACGTCATAGCATAAAAAAGGGAAATGAACAAAAACAAAATGTATGATATTATAAATTACAATAAAAAGAATCCATTAGGATCAGCACTATATATTTTAATGTTTCACTTAAATTTTTTTCTTACAATCAACATTTTATAATATGGGGCTTTGGTTATTTTAGTTTAGACAAAAGTCATGAAATAAAAAAAAACTAGGGCTATCTGCCCTAAATAGTATTGAAAATTACTAATATCACATAGAATTTAGGACATCGGGACGCAGGCTGTGGCTCTGTCTATGAATGGGCTACTGAGTCATTGATTCACACGATTCGTTCAAACCAATGTTTTTTTGTTTAAACCAAATGTATTAATCCTGTAACATGCATGCATCTATAGGATGATGAACATTCAAATCGGAATAAATATAGCAGTTCAGTAGCATCCAAATGTCTTTTGTATATTCCACTGAATGTGATATTAAGTGGTTTTTAACTGGAAATACAACATGCAAATTGCATTGTATATCATAAAGTCACGGAAAAATAAAAGCATAGTTTGCCGAGAGCCAAATTTGTTGTCATGAGAAGTGCTTGTAAAAGCAGAAGTCACAAAGCCAAAGCAACTGGCAGAGCGAGAGGCATTAAAAATGCATGTGTACCTCATGAACTGTCTGCGCGCCTCGTTGACTACAGGCTCGTTATCCACCATATCTGTGTGATTACTGAGAGCATCTTCAGGAAACTCCTCCTCCTCCTCCTCATCAACCAATGACACTGAAAAACCATCAGGAGTCAAAGTCAGAAAAACAGTGCAAGACCAAAACTAAAGCAAGTATGTATCAGAAATGTATTATGAATAAATAAACAAATATATAAATACATAATTAATATTTAATAGCCCATTAATATGTTACAGTTGATTCAAATTTAATTAATATTTGATAACATTGTAATATGTATTACAAATAAATATTTTATGATAAATTATAAATAAACAAATAAAAATGATAAACAAAATAATAACAAATAAAAATAATAAACAAAGTAATAAATAAAAATTAAATGTTTTAATAATAAACATTTCATAATATGTATTACAAATAAGTAATGTATTATGAATAAAAATACATATATTTATTTAGAAATATCTGTCAACCAACAAAACTGAAAAAACCATTAAGTGTCAAAGTGAACTTCTATAAGATCAAAATGAAAGTAATAAATAATTGAAATAATTTTTTTATTTCTAAATATATGAATAATATTTTAATGAATAATATGTAGAAATAAATAAGCAACCAACAAACAAATAAACAATTTATTAATATGTATTATACACAAATAAATACTCTAAATAATCTAAACATATGAATATTAAATATTCCTAAATATGAATTATAAATAAAAAATATGTAAATATATCAATTATAAACATTTAATGAGTATTATAAACAAATAAATACTATCTAAATATATGAATAACAAATATTTCATATGTATTACAAATGAATAAATAAATACAATTATATATAAATGTACAAATTATAAATACTTGATAATATATTACAACTAAATAAATAAAAAATCTAAATATATGAATAATAAATATTTTATAAAATGCATTACATATAACTTATATATCTACTTTTATATTATATTTAAATACACATGTATATATAAATAAATTCTAACTAAAAAAATGTTTATATAAAGATATATCAGAACATATTTTATAATATGTATAATAAATAATGAATAATTCTCTTATGTACCGGTGACTTCATCGACTTCGATGATATCCTCGAGAGAGTAGTTTCTGAGGAACTCTGCAAAAGCTCCATTCTGCTTGAGCAGATCCTGGTAGGAGCCCATTTCTGACACGCGCCCGTCCACCATCACCAGGATGTTGTCCACCTGCGGCAGGAAGCTGATCCCGTGGGTCACCAGTATCCGCGTCTGTTATAGGAACAGCACATCGCTTTACCCTGATCTGCTAAATCACATTACAGTCTGACTGTGACAGATGAGAGCGCATCACATACACGGGTCAATGTGAGACCACTGTGCTGACCACTGTTAGTTCACCCAAATTCTTTTCAGGGAACAGGCTCGGAAATAGTCATGCACATACCTTTCCCTTGAGGGCTCCTTCAGGCCCGATGACATTGTCAAAGATGTGTTTGGCGACGTGAGCGTCGACGGCGGACAGAGGATCGTCCAGCAGATAGACGTCCACTTCACTGTACAGCGCTCTGGCCAAACTCACTCTCTGCCGCTGACCGCCGGACAGATTGATGCCCTGCACACACACACCATTAATTACATGACACGCTGATAACCACATTACATGACACTGCACATAAACAGATTTGTAAGCAATAAGGTACGAGAAGCCGTGCTGTACTGTGAATAAGTCACGAGTGACTGAAGGGAGTTGTTAGGCAGTTATTCACAATACAGTATGCCTAAGTTATGCCTTATTGCTTTTATAAAACAGTTACCACACCATAAATAAGCAAATAACCGCATGTATATGATTATATGCTGAAAAAACCCAAAGCCCAAAATCATGCTTTGTATTTGATACTTGCATTGCCTGAATTAGCTACTCAGAAAACCAATTACTGAAACATAGACTAACCCTCTAAAGTAGGTCACTTCTGAATATGAACTGAGCCCAATCAGTTTATTCAAACCGAGGGAAATTTATTTTCTGCTGTAGTTCTATATGACAGATGCTGACAGAAAAGCAGAAAATAAAGAATTTTGTCTCACTTTTTTATATATGTATGTATATATAATTTTTTTTCTCAAAGTGAAAATTATTTAATTATTTTCAGTACTTCTGATTTAATGTATAATAATTTATTTATTGTCTGCTTGTATGCCACAATATATATATATATATATAGTTTTAAATAAAAGTTTCCCCCCTAATTTCTGATTAATTGAGTTCATTATGATTATTATTGTTGTTATTATTATTATTATTTTATTGATTTATTATTATTATTATTATTATTGCTATTATTACTTATCACCTTCCTCATCCTCCACCCTCTGATTTTTGTTATTAATGCTGTTATTATCATCATATTACTTTTGTAATTTATTATTATTATTAACAATTAATTTATGTATGAATTTTCTTTAGTTTTAGTTATTCTAGTACTTCAAGTTAAAAAATTTTTAACATTTTGCAGTTTCAGTATTTTATTTCAATTAATTAATTTTATTTCAAACAGCAAAGATGTTTTTTTTTTATAGTTTTAGATTAGGTTTCATTAATGATAATAACCCTGATCAACAACATTATTAACAAGAAAATTTACCATTTTAAACGAAATGTCTTGAATTTCGATGGTTCTTGGAAATCAATAACTCAACACAAACCGTTCTTTTACTTTTCTTTACAGTTTTGTTCATGGTTTTTAAGACATGTTATCTTACATACCTTAATGTAAAAAAAAAAAAAAACTCTTTTAAAAGCCGTCAAGCCTATTTATTTCACTAATAACTATGCATGATTGTATGGCCAAAAGCATTTAAGATTTGCATTCACCATCTCTTTTAAGAACAAAACCTGCCACACATTCTGTATGAATATGATTATCGTTTGAACAACAGAAGGTAGAGGAAGCGTGTAAATGTATTGAAATGTGTGGCGCTGTACCTGCCAGAGGAAGAAGAGCGCCAGGATGATCTGCAGCGGCGCTGACCACAGCATGTTCAGGAAAGTGGTGAGATCCATGAAGCGCTGGGCATCCACAGACATCAGGTTCACCACCTCACCCACCGTCGACGAGCGCTTGGCCTCGTTCGTGATCGCCAGAGCCTGCAGAGACACCACAGACTGTCAGAAGCTGCACAGTATGCATTCAGCTGCTGAAAAAGTCATAAATAATAATAAATAACTTAGTGCTGTCAAACGATTAATCGCGATTAATCGCATCCGAAATAAAAGTTTTTGTTTACATAATATATGTGTGTACACTGTGCATATTTATTATGTATATATAAATACAAACACATGCATGTATATATTTAAGAAAAATATTTTATGTTTATATATTAAACATATTTATATATAATATAAAACATAATAATATGAACATATAAATGTATAAACATGTAAATATTTTCAAAATATATATTGTATATGAGTGTGTGTGTTTATATATATA